CAACAACCTACTAATAGCACATATCCCATGTTCTCTGAAGCAAGCTGCCTCTCGACATGGTGGGGGGACTAATTCGGGAAAGCTCTTCCAACTATTGGCGGCTCTTTCAGCGGATTCATGGAGGAGGTGGGACGCCGTGCTCGGATCCGACTTTTGTTTCAACGAGCTCGTTCCTTGTCATGCTAACTTTAGTGGTGTTGATTCTAGAGCTGGAGATCAACACAGTCGTTCCTGGAGAGTTGCAAATACGCCACCTGAGAGATACTTCTTTTTCTGCCCTGGATAAGTCAGCCCCCATTGTGTATATCGGTCTTCTTACTGCAGTCCTCATATATTGTGCATGTAGGTGTGACAATAGCGAGGTGGGAGTGCATGAACTTCAGTGGTTCAATTCGGGGAATAAGGGGACCCTGCAGGTCGCAATGAGGCTCCTGCAAGCTCCTCCGCTCTGCACGAAGAGTGTCCGCGTGTTCGTGAAGATGCACGCATTGTGATCGAGAACACTTTTGCGTCTAATCCCAAGTAGATTAAGGAATACTTTTGCGAATATCCTCACACAGCACACCACAGCCAGCAGAGGACACATACTTAGGACGGGACGATTTTAGGGTTTGCTTGAGCCGTAAGACAACTCAGATTCAACTAAAGGTTGTACGTAAGCAAATGCTTAGTCGCTACAGTACCAACACACAAGACCACCGAGTACTCGATGGGGTCGCCAGTGTCTTATGCGGCAATGCTGAAGTCCCAATTAGTACACGCCCCAGTGTCGCCCTCGGCATCAGAAGAAAAAAGGCGCGCGGAAAAAGAGATCAGGCATGACCACGTGGAGCTGCAATTGGTCGCAGCAATGATGCAGATAGGCAAATATGTGGATTTAAATCCCACGGGCGCCTCTCCTGTTGAGCAAAATGCAACCTTAGATTCTAGGATTCAATCCGGTTAAACTTATGGGCATAAAGATGCTAGTATGGATAATCCTAAAAGCTATACTTGACGAGTTTCTGAGTAGCACTATTGATTTAGCACAAACCCTAGAACCCAATGTTTGGAAAACACTAAAGAAATTCAATAAGTATCAATCAAAAGTTTTGCATTGTGTTCAGAACCAGAGTACCTTTTGACTTCACAATTGGTGCCATTAATTCTATCACTATTGGTATGATTCTTATCAAAATTGATTATAATAACTCCAATTTGGTACTTTGACTAGAGCAAGAGCTATTACGAATTAATAGTAAGTTTTCACATATAAACAAGTTCAATGAAGTACAAAATGAATGGACCACAACACAAGGTATGACTTTCTCACTTGATCTCCTCTTTGTTATATAAGAAACTAGGTTAATGGATATACTTTGAAGAACCTCAAGTTTGACACTGTAGCAACAAACTTATATGAACAACAATATTGAAGCTACAAGGTCCAATCCAAATACTTCATAGGTTACACCACCCTATACATTGGATAACTAAGCAAATTCTATGGCAATTGTACTCAATATTGAATTCCTATAATAAGAACCTTCTGCCAACTATGAAGTAAAAATATTGAATGAAAATCTAATGAATTGAACAAAGGCTATGCTGCCAACCATTAAAACTCCATGAGATAATATAGGAATTGTCAATGAATCTAAGACAAGATCTAATAACTTGCAAATGGACCACAAAGTTGTTAGAGCAGAAGAGCTATTAGATACCACCACACTATATCTTAATATTGGCTTCAACAAAAGTAATCTATTGAAATCTTTTATGGCCAGTATAAATACAACAATATTTATTGTTGTGATTTCTAAATCAATCTAATTTATTACTAAAATAAGGTTAGAAATATCTTTTAATTATTTGGCCCATTTTCTTTGATACTAAGAAGAATGAACCCAGAAATGGCCGTACATTTCACCCACCTCTTTTATGAGTGGTTATGCATACAAAGAATCAAAAATTTGATTGCATACCAACATGAGATTATCTTATTATACTATAGTTTGATGTAACTTACAATTAGAGATGTCCAAATAATATTGGTCTAAGATGTTACAATAATAGTAGCGATCAGATTCTTGAGTTGTTTAAGAAGATATCTCAACACATCCAAAATTTCTTCCACTACCACATTTATGGAGTTGATAATCCTAGCATAGAATATCCATAGGCCGCAAGATTGTGGTACGTACTCATCGTATCCGATTCTTGCAAACTTGAACTATATGTGCATAGACTTGACTTCTCTTTTATATCTTATATATATTTGTGTTAACAACGTGAACATTGATTTTGATGCCAGTTTCAAGGTTTCAACTGGGAGAGCTGGAGATGAGAGTTGTGGCTGGAGATGTCAACGAAAGCCTCAGACTTGTGGATCACTTCTCGCATTGCTCACTTAGTCTAAGAAACAAGTCATTTATGATTAGGATGAATCTTGTAGATATATTTATATGGTCTACAAGGTGTGAACATCAATGTCCTAAATATCTATGTGTCTCTTATTTTGTCCAAATGATATGAATTGTGGTAATAATTAATTGATATCCTTTCTAAACACTATTATTGGTGGCTAGCTAAAGTTTGAAATTTTGTGGAAAATAGAATAAATAAGTCAAATATCAATGACTGACTATTTCTTGAATAAAAACAAAAATTGTTTGTAATATTGAAATATATAGTAAATATTGAAGATAACTTCTTAGCTTCTAATAATCTTTGGTATAATTGGAATAACTACTATTGCAATGGAGTGGGAGCAATAGCTAGGTTAGATTAGATATATATGTTTCAACTTACCGCAAGACAAAGAACTAAGCCAAAAAATTATTGTATATTAGAGAATTGCTGACATTCACATTATTTACTTGTTTTGAGATAAATACAATTAGTATGCAAATTATATCACTCTTCTTGCTATATGATGAATAAACATTACCTTGCACTAGCTAAGATCTAATTCTAGATTTGTCGCATTTAGGGAGCTATTTGTCATCTCCTATTCTAGAGAAAAATCCAATAATATATCAAATATTAAAAAATATTCTATATATATATATAAGGTTATACAATACAAATAAAATAAAATAAAATAAAATTTACAAGCCCAACTTGAAAGAGTTGTGATTGTCTTAAAATGACAGGTCCAAGAATATGAGCCTTCAAATAATACTTTCTTTGTGTATCAACCATCTTACAATGAAATTTCAAAAACGTAAGCCTAGAAGTAATGCTCTCCTCATGCATCAACCATCTAAAATCTTTTGAGACAAACACAATCAATAGAAAAACCCTCCAAAGTTGTCTGTATTGGAAACAAGTTAGAAACCAATGTTTGTGCAAGTTTTTTAAAGCAAATAAGAAGCGATCTATTACATCTAATATTATTGAGTTAGATGACATAGTGGATCAGATCCACACGAGCCACATTGAAATGGAATACATTTACATCTTCTATTACAATTGTCTGTACATAGCACAACAACCAATGATAGTTCTAAGAAAGGCAAGTAATGAAGCTCTAGAATCTTTTGTAAATTGCTTGACAAAAGAGAGTAAAGGACATATTAGTAATATCTATCACCTTGGAAGAATTGATTGCAACCTTTCAAGAGATGGCAATAAGAAAATCCCTATGATCCAATAGTATTGCATTAAAATTTTACACTATATTTTGGAATTTAATAAGAACAGATCATCTTAAGATGATTCAACATAGTGTTAGTATAGGTTATTTTTTAGAAGGAATCACAATGGATATTATAGCATTACTAAATAAAAGATGTACAAAGAGAATTCTTACCAACTATAGATCTATCACCTTACTTAATATGAAATACAAGATTTATGCTAAGTCTTTGTATTTAAGGCTTTAATCTATTTTTATAAATATTATTTGTCCAAATCAATTAATATTTCTATCCCAAAAATTCATCTTGGATAACTTGGTGCTTAAAGAAGAAACTATGGCTTACGCAAAGTATATAAGATAATCTCTCATTTTTCTCAAATTAGATTTTTCTAAAGCCTATGACATGATAGAGTAAGATTTCTTTTTTAAGGTTATATATGGCCTAAGCTATCTACAAGAATTTATGGCCATGGTTTGACTAATTTTTAGAAAAGTATCAGTATGTGTTGAATTAAATGAAATACTTTCATCATTATTTCCAATCAAGAGAGATATGAGACAAGAATGTCCTCTTGCATCTTATCTCTTTCTACTTGTGATAAAAGTGATGAATGCAATAACAACAAAAGAAGAGGATAATGGCATAGTAAAAGGAGTCTATCTTTATATTGAGGGAAGACAATAAGTAATAGCAAAATATACAAATGATACTTTATTGACCTTATTAAGAGAGGAAGGTTCAATAAGAAGTCTCATCTATACTCTAGACACCTTCTACCTTGTTTTGGGATATGTCTTGAATTGGAAGAAATCCAATGGTTATTAAAAGTGCAAATATAACACTCACGGACCACTATAGATGGATCTACTCAAGATAATGTGGGTAGAGAACACTAAGATTAGCAAGCTTCTTGGAGCCCCTTTTGGACTTCCTTTCACTTCATTGGACATGGACATCTTTTTCTTCAACAAAATCCACCATAAGATAACATATTGATATATCACAAAAAACAAATGCTACTAAAAGAGGCATATTGATCAATAGTGTGCTCTTATTAACCATATTCTTCTTTATGTCAATATGGAGAGGAACTCAACATGGAATTCTAAGGTTAAAACATTATTAGGAAACTATTTGGCAACTAGGTCAATGCAAAGATTGAGATCTAAGGTAGGGTGGCTCTAGTGTTATCAAGGAAAAAAGGACAGAGGAATCAATCTAATTCACACATGGGATGTTGTCAGTACTCGGCTAATTAAATGGATGGTAAAGGCCTTAGAGCCTAAACAATCTAATTTACACATAATGCTACAATTCCGCCTACTTCAATGTCAACAATATACTTGAGGTAAGTAGAATCCTAGCATGGACTACTTTACCATACAACTCCATCAAAGCAAGCATTGTTCATTGGTATGGAATAGAGTTCTGCAAGCTTGGAAGCAGGTACTCCCCAAACTGAAGTTTGTGCCACCAACTTGTTCAAGGACAAACGCCGTATTCTGATGAGGCGCAAGTTTAGGGCGTGGCACCCACCCGGTTTTCTTCTACTCCACCATGGTATATCTAGTGTTGGCACCCTGTTTGCTTCGAGATAAGGTAATGTGGCTATCCCCAGGCAGTCCAGCAATTCCCAAGCTAAGGCTCCTGCGGCAAGGTTTGTACAGGTGCAAGGGTTTAGAGCATAGTAGCCTGCCTCAAATCGACGACCGTGGGTAACTGGTTTGAGTCTGTGGAATCTTCGATCATCAGCCGTCACACCTAAGTTCCGCTTCGCTGTGTAGTACAGGTTAGTGTGGTGTAGGATTATCCTGTGCGTTTCATCTTAGACAGCAACGCGTTGTTGCTGCTGTGGGCCGTGTCAACTGAAATTCGTGGGCTAATAGTATCGGAGGCCGTAGTTGCCCAGGATTCTCACCTTGATATGGTGTGTGATTATGACTCATGCTCTTCGGAGCTCTGAGCATTCAATCTAGGTCGTCACGCATTTCGATTGCAGCGCCTGCTTCCCGAAGTTGATATCTGAAGAATGCTCTGTGTGGGATTCGGCAAGTTAAAAGTTGAATGTTATGCTTTGGTTGCATTTTGTTCTCATGAAGCGAATCTCAACTCTGTTCAAACCGAATTGCAGTGTCCAAGTGTGAGAGTTCAGATTGCAAGAAAAAAATATGATCTGGCGTCGGATGGCCTTGTAAATAGGCAGCAATCGGTATGCTCTCAGTGATCTATTCTGTGCCTACAATCTGAGCTTTAGAGCATTAGAGCTCTCTTACTAAACACAAGATGCCCTCAGAAGCGCCCGAGTCGTATATTCCATCTGCTTACATAAACAGTGGCTACGGTGCAACGCCCGAGTGGTTAAACAAGGGAGACAATGCATGGCAGCTCACCGCCGCTACTTTGGTGGGAATTCAGAGTATGCCGGGCTTAGTCATTCTCTATGGTAGCATCGTGAAGAAGAAATGGGCGGTGAACTCTGCATTCATGGCGTTGTATGCGCTCGCGGCAACGTGGTTGTGCTGGGTGATGTGGGGCTACAAGATGTCTTCCGGAGAGCAGCTGGTGCCCATCTGGGGAAAGGCGGGCTCATCGTTGGGGTTCAGGTTCTTGCCGTCGCGGGCGACGATGCCATCCACAGTGATTTATCGCAAGGATGGCAAAGTGAAGACACCAGCCATGGATTCGCATTTCGGAATGGCCGACATGGTACTGTTTCAGTTCTTCTTCGCAGCGCTCACCATCATCATGTTAGCCGGGTCTGTCTTGGGGCGTATGAGTTTCCGGGCGTGGATGCTGTTCGTGCCACTGTGGCTCATCTTCTCATACACCGTGGGGGCTTTCAGCATGTGGGGCGGGGGATTTTTGTGGCAATGGGGAGTTATAGACTACGCAGGCGGCTACGTTATCCATGTTTCCTCTGGCGTCGCTGGCTTCGTCGCCGCGTACTGGGTACGCTCATCTATCCTAAGACTTCAGGACATCGACGAAGAAGACCCGGTTTGGAACGAGAGGCTTCGTAATTTCGCGGGTTGATTGGTTGCATTGATGACTGACTGCAGGTAGGGCCGAGATTATCCAAGGATCGCGAAAGATTTCCACCCAACAACATGCTGCTGGTTCTCACTGGAGCAGGTTTGCTGTGGTTGGGATGGTCAGGCTTCAATGGAGGTGCTGCGTTCGGCGCGCACGTGATCGCTGGTCTTGCTGTTCTCAACACTCACGTCGCTGCGGCCACCAGTTTGTTGACATGGACTACCTTGGACGTGTTCTTCTTCGGCAAGCCTTCTGTCATTGGTGCTGTGCAGGGAATGATGACCGATCTTGTGGTTATTACACCTGCTGCAGGCAAGTCATCACAATACAACTGCAATTGTGGCTGCAGAACTTGATGCAATGGCACTATTTGGAGGCCTATTGCAGTGCATCCGAGGTCGATGATTTAAATTTCATTCAATGTGGTGTGCAGGTTTAGTGCCGGGCTGGACAGCGTTGATTATGGGCATGCTAGCAGGAAGCATTCCTTGGTGGACAATGATGGTGCTCCACAGAAGATGGTGGGTGCTACAGAGAGTAGACGACACACTTGGAGTTATTCACACCCACGGCGTGGGTGGGATTTTGGGTGGCATCTGTGTGGATCTGTTCGCAGACCCTACTCTATGCCGGTACATGGAAGTGGCGGTCGAGGACACAAATGGAGTGTTCTACGGAGGCAATGGCGGAATTCAGCTTGCGAAGCAGTTAGCTGGCGCTGCTTTTATTGCTGGCTGAAACCTGGTTCTGACAACGCTTATTCTCTTCGCTGTTGAGCTCATCACCCCTCTCCGGATGTCAGAGGAGCACTTGCTGGTTGGAGACGATGCGGAGCACGGCGAGGAAGCGTACGCTCTTTGGGGAGATGGCGAGAAGTTCGATGTCGATAGACACTCGACAAGTATTGCTCTGGAGTTTGAGCAGCGAATTGCTGGTGATTACGCTGATCGTCAAATGACGCTGCACATCTGAGCTGAGTCAAGGAATCACTCTCTCCTTGGACTGTGCCTGGATGGTTCATGTTAAGGATATCTCCTCACCATGGCATGACAGGAGATTGACAGTTCTATTCTGCGATGGTGAGTTTATTTCGCCTGCTTGCATTGAAGTTCAAGTTTATGTCGTGATTCTCATCACGAAGGATCTCAAGATAGTCAAGGGTACAATGAACAAAATCTAAACTATATTTTGTCGTGTTTCGTTGGGAGTCCAACAAGGACGCATGCTCTCTGCTTTGCATTGTCGGAGGATTCTGATTTTGATACTTCGAAGCGACATTTCACCAATGCGGACAGCTCACATCATGAATTTTACTTGGAAGATATTTCATCGAAGTCAAGGGCCCTTCTTGGCATAGTGGCGCACAAGTGAAAGTGTAGGAGATTTAATTGAGTCGAAGAGGTTACAGGGGGGCTTCCCTTCAACTGCGGGATAAAATCAGTCATCATAATGCCAGTCTTCTCATATCTGTACTAGAGTTAATTTAGTGGTCAGCAACTTGTTCACCACATTGTCGATGAGGCTGGGCACATTGAATACCCTGATGCTCTATGTTGAAGATGCAGTCAGACTTGTGTCCCAGTACTCATTTCGGAACTAAGCTCGGAGGCTTGGCTTGAAATGTGGGACTCTATTGTAATAGGGTGTGACTCATTAAAAATAGTACGAGTGCGGACTTTCACAATCGGCAGAGTTCAACGCATGCAAAGTAAACATCCTACAAATCCCTCTAGACAAATGTTTAGTGCAGGCAAAAACTAAAATGCGAAGCAGTCGGATAAAAACCTTTTTTTTGACAAGATGGTCTTGGATGTTGATCACACAAATGTAAAGGATATCTCCCGTGGACGAGTGATGAACGCAGTGAAGAGTAACGTCCCATGTTGGATTGGTGATACAGGAACTAGGAACGGTGCAGTTAAATAGGGTTACATTGCCCCGTTCACCTCTCACAATCTGCAGTAGAATACATACTCTCAACCCATGCACACACATTGCCTACACAACGACTGTTCATTGAGTGAATGTGCCAAGTATGCCGAAAGCCTGTATGAATCGAAGAAGTGAAAACAAACAAGATTGGTAGACTTAGTTGATTATGTCACTTTGTGTTCAGCTGTGAAAATTACAACTTGACCAACAAGATCTAGAAATAAGAAGTGGGCAATGAGAGAACAATAAAATGAATGAACAAAACAAAAGGGGCTTACTACCATACTACGAGACTGCCGATGCAGTCTTAAGTACATGTAGTCTTAAGTACATGTGTACAGAGATCTGAGCATTCGGCACAAATGTCGGCTCTCATATCATCCATACAAACTTCATTCCATGATGAAAGAGGGATGAATGTTCCAACACCCCTCCTTCCTACAAAATCATCAATTTTGATACTTACTAAGAAACTACTTGTACTCTTTGACTCTAGTTTGTGAAGGAATTTGTTTTAGATGTCTAAGGTTCATCTCAAGGGTTTGTTATGTGGAGACAGTGGATGGGAGTAGAGAAAGTAATTATCCATTTTCTATTAAGTTGGATGTACTAATTTATGCCTATAACTATGAGCTGTGGAAAGAGAAGATGAGAAAGAGAGTAGTTTTATTAGGAATGTGCTTCTTCTATAGGAATAATATTTAATCTTGATCTAAATTTCTCAAATAGACCAAGTCCCAAGGATTTGGTGAAGATGTCAACTATTTGCTCAAGAGATGGTACATAGATTAATTTAACCTCTTCTGTTTTTATTTTTTCTCTCGTGAAATGATGATGTGTAGCTATATTTTTTGTTTTTGGATTGATATCAGAATTTGTTGCCATTTTGATACTCCCTTCATTGTCACAATATATTAGAATTGATTTTTTAATTTGAAGTACAAAATCACATGCAAGTTTGTTCAACCATGCTACTTCTCTAGATGCTGTGGACAAGCCTATATATTTTGCTTTTGAAGATAAAAGGGCAAAAATGACTTATTTTTTGAGAAACAAGTAATTGGACTGGCTCTTAATTTAAAAACAAAATATATTGTTGATCAACTATCAATTAGGTCTCTTATCCAATCTATATCCACATAGCCTAATAGTATTATTGGTGAATTTGTATGGTAGAGTATTTCATAATCTAATATTCTTGTAATATACCTTAAAATACTTTTTGCAATTGTCAAATGTGGTATTTGTGGTTTCATCATGAAACAATTAATAATTCTAATAGAGTATGAAATATCTAATCAAGAGTGACCTAATTGTATAAGTTTACTAACTATAGATCAATAATAAGTTGGATCAACAATGAATTCATTCATATCAAGAGTAAGTTTTAGTCTTTCAGCCATGGGAGTTGAAGCGGATTGACATCCTTCAATGCCAAAGTGACAAATTACTTGTAATGCATAATTTCATTATATCATAAAAAATCCTTTTGGCACTTTGATTATTTCAACCTTAAGATAGAGTATTATATCACTTTTTTTTAGTTTTGATATCTTAAATTTTGATTCAAGTTGTGATTTAAACCATGTAATCTATTTGATATAATTTCTTGTGAAAAAAATATCATCTATATAAAAAACTAGAAGTAGCATTTTTTCTTAATAGTTAATAACATAAAGGTTGTAGTCACCTTCTTCTTTTGTAAATCCTTGAGTTTAAAGAAAGGATTCAATTCTATTATATTATACCTTTGGTACTTATCTTAGGCCATAAAGAGCTTAGTATAGTTTGCATACTAGGTGTTTGTGCCCTTCAACTATAAAGCCTTGAGGTTGTGTGATAAAGACTTCTTCTTTGAAATCACCATAGAAGAAAGTAATCTTGACATCCATATGGTATAGTTGCCATTTTTTTTTGTGCAAATATTGCAAGGAGCATTCTTATAATGCTCTATTTGACTATTGGAGCAAACATTTCTTTGTAGTCAATGCCTTCTTGTTGTTCAAAACCACAAACAATTAGTCATGATTTTTTCTTTTATAGAGTACCATCAATTTTTATTTTTGCTTTATATACCTACTTTATTAATATAGTTTAGTGTCCTAAAAGAAGAGTAGTAATTAACTATGTCTTATTACCATGAATAGATTTTATTTCATCAATCATTGAATTTCTCCATCCTTCATCTTGAGATGCTTTGTCATATGATTTTGATTCAATAGAGAGGTCTAAAAAATCACAAAAATAATCTTGTAGCCAAGTTAGACATTTTGTAGTACAACAATTTTGATTCAATGCTTCAAAAGATATGGAGGAATAGGATTGTTTTGATTGACGTGTATTGATATCGTTTTCTATATATGAAGATATATCATTGATTGCTTCAAAAGTTGGCCACTCACCTATTGTGTTGAAATTAAGTGAATAAGGTACAAAATTTGTTATTGGCATTGAATTTTTGCTAGGAGATGTCCCTTTTGGATCATGATCTTCTAAAAAAGTATTTGTGTTATAAAGATCCTAAGTTTTAATTTGAGGTGGTTCTTCAATATTGGAGTTTAGGTTGGGTGAAAAAAATTATTGGTCTTAATATAGATTTTGAGTGCCAGGATGGATTTTAATGTTGATATATCAATGGTCAATTGATGATGGTTTAAGGGTGCAAAAACATTGGTCTATGATTTAGATTCTTGAGTGAAAAAATTATCTTTGTTGAATGAAACATCATGTATAATTTAAATTTTTTTAAAATCCAGTAGATAGACTCTATAGCCTTAGGAGATGTTGTCTGAGCCTAAATGAATTCTTTAAGTGGATTGAGCTTTTAGTTTGTGTCTTTGTATTTGATCACAATTCATAAAATAAATACAACCAAAAACCTTGATCTTGCTAAGATTTGGTTGATTACTTATGAACACTTCATAAGAAGTCTTTTTATCATTGGACTTAGTAGGAGTAGAGTTCATGAGTTGTACAACTATGTGGACTACTTCAGTTCAAAGAAAAGTGAAAAAATGCCTACTAAAGAGCATAGCACAAACTCAATTGAGAATAGAGCGATTTTTTCTCTTGGAGACCCTGTTTTATTGGGATATTTGGGCAATATTTAATTATTGTAGGATTTTGTGTGCTTGAAAATATTGATGAAATTCTATAGATCTGAATTCTCTACCATGATTGGATTACACATAGAAGATGTGATGTGAGGTTTGCTTTTTGATCATGTTGTGAAATTGCTGGAACATGCTCATAGTTTGATTTTTTATTTTCTTAAAATAAATCCCAAAAAAAATAACTATAGTGATCTATAAGTAATAAGAAATAACTATTTTGTCTAAAAGATTCTATAAGAAGAGACCCACAAACATTCTTATGGATGAGAGTAAGCAAAAAAGATGCCAAAGCAAGTAATTATTTTGGTATATTGATTTTAGTTTGTTTTGCATTATAATATATGCAACAATTGAAAGTAGAAACTGAAAACTTTGGAATACCTATAATTAAATTTTAGAATGCTTGAAGAGTGCAGAAATTCAGATGAGTTAGTCTTTTATACCATAAGAGTGATTTATTTTTTTGTAGAAAGAGTGTTAATTTTAGAGTGAGTATTAGTACCTACTTGATATGAGAGTGAGCTCTCAGTTCTATTAGTGAAGTAATGAAGTTTGTATGGGCGATTGTTTTTATCTTTTGTTCCTTTCACTACAATATGATGTGGTAACTGAATTGATATAACATTGCATTTTTTTGGACAAAATATACATAGATTGCTAAGATCAGTTATCTAATTTATTGATAAGATATTTTGATGTAAACCAGGAATGTAGCGAATATCTTTTAATGTCTTTATTTCACCATTAGGTAGAGATAAATCAACCATGCCATTGCCTACAATTACATGGAAGTGACCAGCTACGGATGTAACCATAAATCCATGGACATGGTCAACTTTCCGAAAGGTAAAGTAATCTTCCAAAAATACCTAAAGGCTCTTGAGTCTAAAATCCAATTAGAATCCGGTTTGTTGATAGAGAGAGCTTCAAGGGCTTGTAGAATTTTACTATCACTATATTCATGTGGATCAAATAAAATTTATTTGCTAGAAAGATCTTTGGTGACATTGACACTTAGTTATAAAAAGGATTGAAGGATTGTTGTTGCATGGAAAGGCATACAATCTTAAATTATTTGTGTATTTATTTTTAAAAGAAGGCATCAAGGCAAGAGCATGGTAATATCTTGAGGTATGCCCGAGCTTGCCTCAATGGTGGCAAATAAGGATTTGTCCTCCTCAAAAGTGTTACTATAGGTATTGAGTCCATTGTGGACCACTGGAGGGCAAGTTGTTATAGCGGATCTTTTTATTATATAAGTTTCATATATGCATCACCAATGCTTCTTCGAAGATATCATGTGATGGATTTAATAGAGCATTGGTTTCTTCCATATAGAGCCTATTTCAAGTTCCTACAAGCTAGAAATTTCTTTCTCGGATTGAATTTGTGAAATTAGTTTATCAAATTTTTGTGATAACTAATTGAGAATTTAATGTACTAAAACTTCATTAGATAGTACTTGTTTGATGGCTTTGAGATTACAGATTGTATTATTTATTTGTTACATGAATGTTGCAATGTCTTGGTGATCTTTCATTTAAGTATTTTTCTAGTGATTTAATACAATCATGATATCAGATGTGGTATTTGTATTGAATATGGTGCTCAAAGCTTGCCAAGCATTGCATGAATCTAGTATATTGATGATGTTGTAGCAGTAATTTCAAACTAAAGATAATTGGATCATGGCTTTTATTTTATGTTTCTAACTGCAAGTGATATTAGGTTTTGATTGATTTGGATTTGAAAAT